CTTACTAACAAAGAACCAAATGTAACCAATAGTATTAATACCAAAACACTACCTGTTCTGACAGATATCAAACTGATAGGCAGTGATGTTTCTATTCATGAACAGTGAGTGGAATGGGCAGAGGATGATGGGAAATTTAGGGAGGTACAGCGGGAGTCTGTCTTCTTTGCTTCTTCCTCTATAACTATTGTAACTTTCTGTTCACATCATTAGTCTTTTGCACTTGTCAGTCTCCGGGTTTCCATGTTCCTTGATTTTCATTTCTGTTCACTAAAGCAGATTCTCTCTCATCTCTCCACATATCGCTGTCTCCTCTCCGCACCTTCTGTGTGTCATGTTTCTCTTTGTTATTATTCACAGTCTAGGGCTGCTCAGTCTTTCTCCTCCTGCTTCCTGTTCCTATCGATGTAGACAGACACTCTTTTACCTCCGCACTAACAAAATACAGATGCTTTCAGCAGCAGCACTGCAGAGATTCAGTTCACTGGAGAAATGTCACTGAAGTGAAGTTCTGTTCACAACTTTCACTGGTGCTTGCTATCATATGAAATAACTTGATCTACTGACCACTGCTTTTCATTATCCTACAGCAATGCATCATTTTCTATAGAGTATGTAATGTTTGTCCTGTGAAAACCACATGTCTCTAAAAACCTTTCAAGAGGGTCTGTAGATTTATTTAGGAACACTTAATACTTCAGTTTATCTCAATATTTATAGTCAAAACCCTTTGGACATACATGGTTTCAGGTTGGGTATGAAAACATAATTTTGACAAATGACAAATGTAGTAGAGTAAAATCTAATTTGCCTCTGAGATGTCACTGATTAGAAGTATAAAGTAAAGAAATGCTCCTGTTAGGTACTCAGGACTTGAGTACATTTAGTCAAATTTTGAAGGCTACCGTTTGAGTCACTTGAGTTATCATTTGATAATCTTCTATTTCATGCTACTTCATACATCTACTCACATTACAGAGGGAAAAGTTCTAGTGGATCAGATTTATTTAACAGCTGCTTTTCAGATTCAAATTTCACTGAAAAAAAGTGGACAAGTGGTTTCCAGTGTTTCTTTACCTCTGAACCTTTATAATGAACCACTTGGGGGCAGATGCAACAGTTACAATGTCTGTGTGACAGATCCAGAGATACATTTCATCTTTTCTCTTCCGTTAAAGACTGGAACCCAACAAGGTAAAACAAAAAAACAACATTTCACTAAAAAAGAAAACTAATGCAAACATTTGTATCATTTATCTCACAAGCCCAACATTTACACTATGGCCCACTGAAGGAGGCTGATCTCTGAAGTACTTAGCTCTTTATAGTATGGTAGTAAAAACCATCTCCAGCTTAGACAGCCACATTGGAAAAATGTTGCAGTTTCCCCCTCATCATTGGTGCTCATTGCTGCTAAAGATGATTAAAAAAAAGATTTGAAGGAGATTTCGAAAAAAGGCTCATTCGGGAAACAGCATATTAAGAGAGGATGCCAAACAACAATTCAAAAGTTTCACCCACAAGCTTTACTAACCCAATTTAAAGAAAGAACCAAAAGGGGCCAGCCAAACCGAAAGGCCTAGAGCACAGAAACAACTAGTGTCTGCATGTGAGGGAGTTTTTGTATGTACGTACATATGAGGGAAAGCCCTGGGAACCTTGAACATATTAAGATATGATGGTTGCCATAACAGTATTCTTGTGCAGACACACACACACACACACACACACACACTGAGAGAATCCTGCATTAGTTGACTTGATGAGTACGACTAAAAGGACCCGTGTTAATAGACCTGGAATTACAGTAATAGATG